CTTTTTAGTCGGCAAGATACAACATGGTCTAGGTCGGCCATGATAAGTGTAGTGGCGCTCTTGCCGAGTTGAGTACTCGTGTTGAGTTAGACCGTGGTACATAGTCGTTTTCAAGTGCTTCGATTTGATTTCAACTACTTGACCCCATATTATTTAAAAATAAGAGCAAATACTTCTTGATTTTACCATTGTCTTCATATTATATCTTGATTTTAATTTTGATCAGAAAATTGAGTTTTAACTTGAAGTCAATTAATGCAAAAACTGTTACAGCTTATAGAATTTTCCAAAATTAACCCTTTTTATTTTTTTGGTTTGAAAGAAAAAATAACAAATTAATTAAAAACGTGGACTTGAAACGGTAAAATAAACCAAACTTTTAACTTTATTCAATGCTAACTTTATTTTATTTTATATTTTGTAAATAAACCATTTCAGTTAATTTATAAAACGTTCTATTAAGATGTGTGAAAAAGAGTGAAAATAATATTTTCTTTAATAACAACTTTAAAGGTAATTCAACTGTAGTCTGTAGAGGAATAAAATGGAAAGTAAAAATGTATTTTGAGTGAAAATAGAGAATTTGTTGTTAAAAACAAACTTTATGGAAGGTTTTCGTAATTTTTTAAAAGAACATGGTAGTATGATATTTACTCTGTTATTTATGGTTACTTTTGTATTCTTGTACCGTACTTCTTTAGACTCGATTTGAGTCCTAGCTCTACCTTTTATTTTCCATTTCATTATTGAAATTAAAATTTTATTTGAGGGTTCGATTGTGGGTGGATTTGGGGCAAATTTACCAATAAAATAGAAATTTGAAGGAGAAGTAAAGTTCTGGACTAACGTGGAACTAAAATCTTAATTCTCCAAAAATATAATATTTCCGAAAATTTATACCATCACCAAATTTATCATTGTTGAAAAAACGCTAATACAATAATTGGACATAAGTTCGATCAATATTGACCAATTTTCCATTTCCTTCACTCCCAGACAAGGAAAAAGGAAAATGACAAAAGAAAATCAAAAGAATTTTCTTTAATATGAACACTAAGAAATCCAGGTTCGTCTATTTTGAAATTTTGAACTTCCTGAAAATGGGAATCTGAATATGCCAATAAATATGTGCTGAGAATAGAAAACGTTCAAAATTACACGGCAGAATTGTTAAACAAATATGTGGTGGGACTTTTTCGACACGAAATTCAATCACCAGTTACGTCCAAAATATGTGATTAACGAATTCTCTTTTCATTATAAAAAACAAGTGGTCGTGTCTCGTTGTCCATTTTCTTTACCAATTAATATTGTTTATTATTTTGTTTCAGACAAAAGCAAGATAAATCAATAAAAAAGTGTAACTGCCCCTCTTGGGGTGGTCGAGTTGGTAGAGTAGGTGAGCGCGGAGACCTTTGATCACGAGTTCGATTCCCCCTACTAACACTTTCTCGATCAAGCTTGTCGCACAGAGCTTGCTAAGTATAGTTTACCTGGCTGACGTGATTTGCAAGCTATTGCGTCAGTTTGAGGGTTTACCCGTACACACCCGAAAGATAACGACTGCAGGTTCCTGCGTCATAAAAATAAAAATAAAAATAAAAAAAGTGTAACAAGTCTCGAATTTTGTTTGACCATGTCTAAAAATTACCAACTGCCAAGCCTTGGTATCTACCCCTTCTCAAGGATATTTTTCAGTTACGCAAACAAATATATTTTGAAACATATGACAAACATACATCTACAAACATCATATTTTGCCTTTGACCATATTATTAATAAAGAAAAGAGTTTCTTACATGCTATCAAAAGATTTGTTCCAATGCAACCCAACAAATCACGGATTTGCACAAAGTTCATGTTATTTTCATTCAATTGCTACAAAATCAATAATTTCATAAGCTCTTACATAAAATATCTCTTTCCTTGTCTTCAGTATTGAAAAATAATAATGAAACGTCTAAAGTATTTTAATAGTTCTTATTACGTTAAAACGATTATATTTCATCACAAACCTAAAATTAAGGGGCTGTTTGGGCCCGATTTTTTCACCAAAAAAATTAATTTTTTGATCGTTATTTTACTATTTCAGCCGTCATATTTGACTTCTTCTCTCACAGGTGAACCCTACTTTTCTCGTAACGGTCAAAAAATCAATTCTCAAAATCACTTCCAAACAGGTTCTAATATGTGAAACTTCTGGAAAATAAATACTCATTGGTCAACGCTCGTGGTAAGTTTCAATAAACCACAATATTGATTTAACGCAGCCACAAAATTTGAATAGGTTGTATAGAACTTTCACGATTAAATTCTAATTGGCAACATCAAGTAACTTCAAAGGCAAGGCTATAAATTTTTCCAGGAGTCCATCCAATGAACCGCGTCAAAAAGCACTAGTCAAGAAAGATTTCCATAATTTTTTTTTTTTTT